GGCTGGGGGAGAGAGGGTGGGGGGGAGCTGGGCTGGAACGAGGTGTGAAGACCTTTTTTACAAACGGCTCATTTTCAATGTGGCTCACCTGGCTGCAGCACCGCAGCTGGGCCCAGCCGCCACCGCGTCCCGCCTGCGGGCTGCGGGGTCCTCGGTGTCCCCACTGTCCCCGGGGGCTGCACAGCACCGCTGGCTTGCTCTGCCCTATCCCCAGGGGAGCCACGAGCTCTGGATGGACATGCCAGGCCCCTGTGACACCGCTTGGTACCAAACTACATGCTGCTGGAGTGGCCGCAGGGTCGGGATATCACCTGGCTGGGGGCTGCACGGGGCCACCATCCACGGCGGGGGGGCCAGTGCCAGCGGTCCCACACCGGGATCTGTCTGAGCTGCTATAGTTTCTCCTGGGTTCTGTTACATTTGCTGTATTTTCATGGTTTCCTACAATAAACTGCAATGCCAGACTCCTCCAGTGCCTGGACAGTGTGGTACGGGGCGGGGGGCTGTGGGGTGGTGGGCACCCCCGGGGCTCAGGGCCATGGGCCCAGGCTGTCCCTTGGGCTGTGACAGCGGGGCCCGATCCTGTCTGGCCGGTGCTGACGTGTCCGGTCCCTGCCTGTGCTCTGCCTGGCCACGTGACCCCTGCCACCCCCTCCTTGGGGGCTGGGGGGCTCCTGGACCATCTCCCTGCTGATCTGAGAGGAAACCCTTACGGCATCAGCAGGGGGGGTCCAGCCTACGGGGGCTGCTGGGTGCCAGGGCATCCTCATGGGGTGAGTAATGGGGGGCTGGACCCCCCCACCTGTGTACCCTGGGAGCGGCGCAGCAGGCGGAGGAGCCATGTGTGGGGCCAGGGCCCTGTCCTCCCCTGGCGCCTGTCCCTGGGGAACACCGGCCCCCCCTGTTCGGAGCCGGTGGGGCCCCGGTGCCCGGGCAAACAGGCAGCTCTTTGTGGGGCCCAGCCCAGGCGCCAGTTTCGATTCCTGCAGGCCCTGCCCAGGGCTGGGGGAGCCCCGGGGGTGCACACAGTGTCCTGCCCAGCCCCAGGCGGCAGCAGCAGCCCCATGGAACCCCCCCGCGCCCTGCCAGGCCCTGCCCTGGGCACACAAACCCGTCCCTGGCTGGCAGCAGGGCTCGGGGGGGAAACACACGTGTTTGAACACCGTTTTTGGCTTTGCCCCTTCCTCCTAGCATACAAGGGCAGGATCTGGCACCTTGTGCCCCATGTCCACCCCCCCGGTTTTGTCCTGCTGTTCACGTGCATGCAAAGACATCCCCCCCCCACAATGCCCACCCTGCACCAAACCACCCAGCTCCTGCCCTACCTGCCCTGATCCCCCCCTCCCCGGGGCGCACCCAGACCCTGCTGACCCCCATCCCCGTGGCCCTCTGTCCCTGCAGCCCCCCTGTCCCTGCTGACCCCCATCCCCACAGCCCCCCCTCCCGCCAGTCTGGAAGGCTTCTGGATCTCACCGTTGCTGTTGGCAACTCTGGCTGTCAGCAAGGCACATGGAAAACCAAAAGCAGCAGAGTCGTCCCTGCCCCCCCGGCTGCACCCACCATCCCCCTTGGGGCTTGCGTCACCCACTCTTGCCTGGCAGACACCACTTCCTCCTGACCCAGAGCACCCCCCAGACCCTCACCCACACCCCAGCACAGCCCAGGTGCCTCCTGGCACACGCCCAGGTCCCCGGGCATCTGGCACAGCCACGTCCCCCACCCGGAGCCCACGTGCTGCGGCCGAGGTGGCCACCAGCCACACGCCGTCAGGCTGGGGCTGGGGCTGGTTCCTGGCGAAGCCGCTGGCCCTGTGCCTGGGTGCACAAGGGATTTCTTTGGGGAAGGTTTGTTTCCTTGTTTTTCTGACTTTTCAGTAGTTGCCAAAACCCTCCCAGCCCTCGGCATGGGTCCCCCCACCCCCAGCTCAGGGCTTGGCCATCCCAAAGGCCGGGCATCATAGCCCGGCACAGCCCGGCACATGGACCCGGGCTGGGCAGACCAGGTCCCAGTGCAGCCCCCAGCCCCACCGGGGCCACCCTGCTGCCCCCCCCGGCACAGCCCACAGCCCTTCCCCACTCCCCCCCCGGCAACCCCCAAAGCCATTTCAGGGCTCACTTGGGGTTTGGAGGATGCCGAGCCTGGAGCAGGCAGGGCAGGGGAGCGGGGCCAGGCAGGTCAGCGACGCGCGTGCTGCCTTTACAGGGCTCATCCCGCTGCTCCGTGCCCCATCATCACCTCCACCCGCCACTGGTGCAGCCGTGGGGTAACCGGTTGTGCCAAATGAGACATGTTTGCTCACAAGACAGAAACCGGGCGTGCGGGAGAGGCGGGTGGGATGTGGGCAAGAGGTGTCCCAGCAGGACATGGTCACACCCTGGGGGGACACCCGGAACAGGGACATTGCCTGTGCCCAGGAAGCTGGAGGTACAGTGCCAGCGAGCGAGAAATAACCCCAGCACAAACCCCAAATCTGTTGGCCCGAGAAACAAGAGAAGACCCTGCTGGGCTGAGCTCAGCCAGGTGTGTGACACCACACTGGAGACATCCCACCAGCTGCTGGGCTGGAAGGGGAGTCCCTCCTCCAGCGTGGCACCCAGGGCATCATGGTGTGCCCAGGTCACTGCAGCCCCGCAGGACACGGCACCCGACTGTGCCCATCCTTTTATTGGGAAATGCGATAAATATACCACGGCTCCTGCCACCCCTGCTTCCCTTCCGAGCCAAGCCCCATGCCGACACCCCAGATTTATATTTATATAAAATAACACCTCAAAAAGAGCAACTGAACCCCCAGGGGTGAGCACAGTGGGGGCCTCAGCCTGGTCCCCTACCCACAGTGCAGAGCAGGGGGTGCACAGCCAAGCGAGTGCGGGGGACTGGGGGACGCAGGGACCCCTCCCTCCCGCCCCAAGTCTTTGTTCATCCAGTTCTGTCATGTGCACGAATCCAGCTGCTCCAGAACCATCCGGCTCCCGCTGCCTGTGGCAAGGGGCCGAGCAGCACCGGGGGACACGCCTGGGGCCAGTGCTGCTCACCCCTGGGAGCAGGGGGGGGCTGCAGCCGCCCCCTCCCCTCGGTGGCTGCCCTCCGGAGGTCCCAACACGTCCCTCAGAGGTTGTCGGAGGTGGCAGCGGGGTTGGTGTAGGTGAAGGTGCCGACCCCTGCGCCATTGGTGCCAGCCACCTGGGGAGGGAGTGGGGGGGGGGCATCAGAGCCAGGCTGAGCCCCCTCCTCAGACCCCCCACCCAGGGCACCCTCACCAAAGGCATCAGCTCAGCCACAAAGCGCATCCCCCCTGCACGGTTGGCAGCTGCTCTGGCTGTGGGTACCGTGGGCACCCAGAGCCCTCATGGGCACCCAGAACCTAACCCCCCAGCACCCACCCCCTGCCCCCCCCACACTCGGAGCTCCCCCCCAAGCACAGGAGCTGGCAGAGGAGGTGAAGTGGCCCCAGCTGTGTTCTGCTCCTCCTGCGCGATAAGCCTGCCCAGCGAGAGCAAAGGTAAATATTTACCCAGGCCCCTGGTATTTGAACAGGGCGAGCGGCTCACACGGAGCCAAGCAGCTGGATACGGCCCCCGCCCGCAGCGCCGGCACACGGGGGGCACAGCACGTCGGGGGAACTGGGGTGACCCCGCCCAGATCCCATGTCACTTGGGGGGGGGGAAGCCGTGCCCTCGGTTTCAGAGCTGCCACGCGGGATATGGGGTGCAGGAAACGCAGAGCAGGATACAAGGTGCGAGATATGGGGTGTGGGATATGGGGTGCAGCCCCCTGGCCCCCTACGACCCCGGGCCCAGCCCCAACCCCATGGCATAAGGACACCCCAACTCCAGCAGGTGCCAGGGTCCAGGCAGGACATGGCCGAGCCCAAGTAGGGGCAGTGGGGGGTGGCAGGGCCCCCCCCTTGCCCACCAGCAGGCAGGGGGAGCGGTTGCCCAAGGTCACAGGGAGCTCCCCAGAGCCGGGCTGGGTCTGCCAGCGCTGGCCACGTCCCCAGCCAGGCGTGAAAGTTAGGCTCACCTCCCAGCCGGGAAGGGAACGGCATGGGGCGGGCTCCCAGGGCCACTGGCTCCGTTAGCCATTAACCCGGCAGCCAAGGGACCTGGCCAGCCCACCCGCCTGCACCAAAAAACACCTTTCTCCAGCACCACCCCAGCCCTGCAGCGGCCGGGACGCTGGGTGCAAGCAGCCCTGGGGATGGGAGCACTGGGCTCTCACCTGGCTGTAGGGGTTGGGCTTGCTGTTGGGTGGCTCGTAGCGGCCGTGGCTCTGGTACGGCGGGTACTCAGCCATGGGGTGGTAGGAGTCCTTTGTGCTGAGCAGGTCCAGCTTCCCTCGGCTTTTCCGGCGGCAGGTGCAGGTGGTCTGGCGGGGAGAGGGAAAGGGTCAGGGGCCTGAAGGGATGGGGATGGGGAGAGGGGACCCACCAGCAGAAGACCGGTGAGGATGAGGGACTCACCATCAGGAAGCAGGTGAGGATGCTCAGCAGCAGCAGGATGCAGACCAGGACCAGCAGAGCAATGGCCCAGTCTGGGACCGCAGGCACCGGTGCCGGGGATGTCACCTCCTCAGTGCCTGAAAGAGGATCAGAGCCGTGTCTGTGCCACTGGGCAGAGCCACAGGGCTGGTGGGGGACAAACAGCCCTGAGAGACCCCCCAGGATGGGATGCGAGGGGGTGAGCCCTCCTCCACAGGGTCCAGTTGGTCTTCCCAGTGCTGTCCCACCACTGGCTCTGCCAGCTGTGAGCCCTGAGCTTCTCTCACAGGGAAACCCGTGTGTCCCCCCCCACCAAGGAGTCTCCCTGCCCAAGCCAGGGTGGGGCAGTGCTTGCAGAGCCCCCCAGAACGCCCCCATGGGGCTCCATCCCCCCTTGCACCCACAGCCCACAGCTCCCGCTCACTCCGGATGCTGGTCAGCTGCAGGTCCATGATGAAGCCATTGTGGTCCAGGCTTTTCCTCAGCTGCTGCTCAGCGACGGCACTGGTGACGGTGTCGTTGCCATGCCCAAAGACAAGGACGGACTGCACCTCCACTGAGCCTTGGCTGCCCACAAGAGGAGGTGTCAGCGCCCAGATGGCCGCCCCCTGCGAGGGGCTCTGCTCCGGACACGCTGTCCGGCTCACCTGAACTGGAGCTCGCTGCATCCCTTGTAGGTCTGCCTGCCCACGCAGCTCACGCAGCCAAAGACGTGCTCATACTGGAACAAAGCATGGGGGTGACGGCCACCTCCCCAGCAGACACCCCCTCCCTCCCATCCCCTCGTGGGACCGGCTGGGGAAGGCAGAGCAGACACTCAGGGCACTTTTATGAGGAGCCCTGATGGGAGGGGGCTCATTCCCAGTGCAGACTCGGGGGGGTCTTTGCTCTCTCAGGGCTGGGGCTCACCATGGTCAAGACAGTGTGGCTGAGGGTCCTGTAGTCCTTCGAGGTGGGGTCACGCAGGCTCTCATTGAAGCTCCTGTTGATGATGCGGAAAGAGAGCGGGACACGGCGGAGCAGCTGGACCCCGGTGGGAAGCAGGGCTGGGGCTCTGCTGGGGCTGGGACCGCTGCTACTGGCCAGCACAACCGTGGGGGTCTGCGTGGGGGCTGTGCTGCCCTGACTGGTGACAGGGGTTTTCTGCGTGGGGTTGACCTGGGGGCTGCTGCTCCCGTTGCCTCTGGTGCTGGAGATGGGGATCCCCGTGGCAGCACCCGTGGGGGGGGTGGGAGCCGCAGAGCTGCTGTTGGTTGTGTTGGTGTTGATGGGGGTGATCCAGCTGCTGTCGTTCGTGGTGGCATTGACATGGGAGACAACAGTGGTGATAAAGGTGGGCACCGCGGTGCTCTTGGCTGTGGTGTTGTCTGTGGAGCTGTTGCTGGACTGGATGTTTGTGGTGTTGCCTGTGGTGAGGGAGACCGTGGGGTGGGAGGGGGCGGAGGTTTGGTTACTGTCGCCCGTTGTGTTTTTGAAGATGGTGATGTTGGGAGGGGTGATCATGGGGGTGGCAGTTGTCTCGGCGGTTGTCTCCATGGTGGTGGTGTCTGTGGTGGTTGTCTCTGTGGTGGTTGTGTCGGTCACGGTTGTCTCTGCGGTGGTCTCACCCATGTTACATTTACCTAGAGGAAACCCCAGGAGTCATGGCTGGGACTGCAGCACCAGTTGGGGGAGGTTTTGGACACCCCCCTGAGCCACAAGCACCGTGACCTCCAGGCGCCAACCACCGGCAGCTCCCAATGCCCGCGACGGCAAGACCTTCAGGAACATCCCACAACTGGGGCTTGTGATGGGCACACATGGCACCACTGAGGGCCGGGGTGGTACCACCTGGGTGGCTGGCACTGGCCACCGTGCCCAGCCCTGCAGATCCCCCCTGCTCCTGAGGGAGCCAAACTGGGGGTCTTGGGAACAGCCCCCCCACCCAGACGAAAACCTCTTTGCTGCAGGTTGCTGGGCTGGGAGGGTGGGGTGCCAACTGGGCCCCCCGGGACCCACATGGCCTGGCTGTCGTCCAGCACGGGCGGCTCCCGGGCGGTTTCCCAGCGGGTGCCACAGGAGCCGGCGGCACTGGAGGAGAGCCCGGGGTCCGGACGGCTCCCCGGGACACACCTGCATACCAGCCTGTGAGCCCCAGGCACAGCCTGCTCCGACTGGCCCCGGCACAGCCCGGCTGATCCTTTCGGACACAGCTAAGGGAAGCCGTGACCCCAGGACCCAGCTTTGCTGGAGACAACCAGACTTGGGGTGCTGCACCCTGGGGCCAGGCCAGGAGAGACAGCGATGCTTCTGCTGCCGGGGACTCAAGGGCTAACGGCTCTGCCACCCCCCCGCTCAGAAAGCAGCCCAGGGGACCCAGCTCCCATCCCGCTAGCCCGTTACCTCTCTGCTTGCCCGGGTCCCAGCCCAGCTCCCTCCAGCTTGGGGTCCCACCAGCCCCTCACCTGCGCCCAGCACCAGCAGCAGCAGGAGGGCAGTGAACGCCATGGGGCTCATCCCAGGGGGTCCCGGTGCCTCTCGGGGCTCTGCGGCAGCTGCTCTCCCGTTAGCTAGCGGCACGCTCTGCGATCCGGGAATCAGGAACTGGCAGCTCAGCAGCGGCGGGAGCTTTATAGAGCACCTGGAGCAGGTGGGGAGGCCCCACCCCGCCACCGGCCCCAGGGAGGGGGGCTCCCTCCGCCCCGCTTGACACTGGGCCCCGGGGTGCCGCCTTGCTGTGGGGCCCTCACGGCATCCTTCCCTGGGGCTGGGTCCCCCCGCGGTCCCCTGGCTCGGGGGGACATTGCCAGCAGCGTCCTCGTGCTGCGGGTGGATGCCACCTTGGGCAGGGGCATGGGGAAGGGGCAGCGGCTGGGGGTCCTTGGATAGGGGTGGGGGCCAGCATCTGCCCAGTGCTGTGGGCTGAACCACAGACCCCAGGACCTGGTGGGGAGCTTGGGGGGACAGAGCCGCCCCCCAGTCCCTCGCTCAGGGCCTGGGGGGCCTCATCCTCTGGCTCAGCCTGGGGTTAATCATTACCTGCCGGCCACTGCCTCACCCAACACTCAAATAAACACCAGTGATGCCCCCCCGAAATGCTTACGCAGGTGGGGCCCGGGGCCCCACAAAATCCCAGTACCTCCCACTATTCTCCCCGCCAGGTCCCAGGGCCCCCCCAGGCAAGCATGAGGGCCCCAGCGGGCACAAGACCCCCTTCCCAGTTCAGGACATGGCCCCCAGCCCAGGCTGATGCCCAGTGCCAAGCCGGATGCCGATGCTCCACCTCAGAGATACCAGGTGCCACCCGTGCCAGGGCGCAGAGCCCCCATCCTCCCTGGTGACGCGTGCTCCTGGCACCACCGGCCACGCCAGCCTTTCCGCTCCCTCCCTGCCCTGCGGGACAGCCCCGGTTCCCGGGAAGCGCCCCTATTCCCAGGGAAGGCTTGGTGGGGGGGTCCCATGCCCGACATCCTGCGCAGCCCTGCATGGAGCCCACCCCCCCCCCCCCCCC